AATGAGATAATTCGTCTCCACATCCACAAATATCTCAACCTCAGAACCGTTCTGCACCAATTAATTCTGCTAACGGGGAGATTACATACAATACTTTAACAGCTTAATGCACAGTGGGCAAAACAAAGAGCAAATACACTACACATTCTTTCATTTACAGAATTATAATAAATTAATTCATATCGCTGTAAGAGCTGTGTTTTACTATGGTACACCTCCAGAATAAAGGACCAACTCTGGTGTACTTCTGTTGCTTCACACAAGTAAGCATCACCCATTAACAGCACATCCTTCCCTAAACATCATGGTAAGACATGGGGACATGCATTTACTTTGGTGTAGTTTAACAAGTAATGCAATGTATAAATATTTTGGTGGAAGTAATACGTTTGATTATCAAGTGAAGTAGGATCAGTATGCCACAGTCACGCATACCAATCCTGGACAATTCAAGTTGCACGTAGCATTTTGAAAGTCACCGAACCCAGCTTGGCAGATACTTTTTTGAGATACTGTACATGTCTACATAATTTCATTAATCTTTTTTAGTGACCACAAGCTTTGTTTATATAACTTTTCATAACTTTAATCCCCCTCAGCCTACTCTTATAATTTGTGTGCTGCCACTGAACTAGTCTTATTTGAAATCGTTTTACTGTATTTCATTATTTTTGTTTTATGGGCGATTGTTTAAAGGTCATGAAATTATTGTAGAATTGGATCAATGAGCAACTATATGGCAGTATCAGGCAAACCCCCCCAATTAATGGCACTTTAATTGGAAGTTTGCTGGTTATACTTTTTATAATGGTATGCCAACCGTTCCCACCCTGAAAGTTGACTTTAAGAAGGGCCTCCAGCTGTAAAACTTTGCTTCAACAGGCCTGATGGCAACTGGATCTTAGCTGCATTTTCTGGGTTGGCACCCGGGGTTTGCAGTGGCGAGCATCCCATTCTGGCTTTACTCAATGGCTGCCTTCAGGTAATCATAGCTAACCCACACAAGCATGGAAACTGAACATAAAATGTTGTTGTTGAGTACCATTAATTGGGAGTTGCCAGTTGATGGAATGCTGAACCTGTACACCTAACTTGGTTAGAGCTCGTTACCAGGATTTCCCCAAAAGCATGCATCAACAGCTCCTTTTGAAAGACATTTATCAGCCCAACCATGTTCCTGTAGCAAACAAGTTCACCAAGGTCAAATTGCAAGGGAAATAAGCAAACAATTTACTGTATTAAGGCAATGAGAGCAACTTAAGAATCTTGAGATATACATAGTCCCCATCCAATCCCTGAGTAAACAGGCCTTGGAAGCAAAAGGTAGCAGAGGGTAATTCAACGGTTCATCAGTTCTAAATACCAGATCACTTTCATTGAACAACTCAGTCCAGTCTAATCTTGATAACAGGTCACCAGGAATGTAATTACCAATCAATCAATCTCTGGCTAACAGATCCCCAGGAAGTGTCTCCTTATTTCCTAATCCAGAACAAGACAAGAAGGTTCACTTGTTCCCGAGGTGAAAAAGTGCAAAAGCAAATTGTGACTAACCGTAATTCTATTTTGGACCACACCAGGGGAGCCAGACCCCCACTTCTGATAAAACAAATAACCAAAACACACCTTTTTTTTCTTTTAAACTCACTATGACATTAGCCCCATACCATCACAGTCCACAGTATGTGGAAGATCAGCTCATGTAGAGATTTGTTGGTCCACTTCAAACTGGGTCCTTAAGGCCCGTCCACACAATCGAGGTGCCCGGCGGGCACGCACTAAATGCCCGTTATCTGGCAAAATTGGCGGGCAAACCAGCGCAGTGCCCGTGCCCATCGTTGAGCGAAAACATGGTCCGCCTGCCGGATATGGAGTGACGACTCTGCCAGACAAACGAAGTTGACCTTGGCTTCCTACATGGCTTGACAGGTTGCAGGTATTACGCGACAAACTTTGTTTTGATATCTTCGTTCTATACTGAAGTGACGTGTAGGTGCACCCAGTTGAATGATATATGAGCGTTGCCACTAGACGAGCCTCTGCAGATATACTCCCTCATATTGGTATCCTGTTTTTTTATATATGGTTCCACTTTCGCTAGAAGTTTGTAAAAGGCGTTCGGATCCATTCTCATGTAATTGGTGAAGTCTTGCTCATGTCCATCTTGCAGTTTACGTAAAATCATGGCATGACTTCCCAATACTTTTCTTCGACCTAACCACTATTTGCACCATTCCCTTTTCTGCATTTGGTTCTTCTTTTTGCATATAGCAGCAATTATTATAGTACACAACGCTATGCTCTTCGCTTTAACTGTCCGGCGATTATTCCTGCGACACACCAGGGTGATCGTACCGCATCCGCCACTGCCGACCACCTACTAGCTACCGGCGCCCAACTATGACTGCCGCCAACCACCCCCGTGTGTACAACAACACAGGCTAAAGCCCGCCGAGCACTGCTCGATCGTGTGGACAGGGCTTTAGAAAGTCAAATAGCAAATGCAAATGTGTTGCCATACTACAGTACTGTAACACTAAAAAACTATCTACACTGGGGTTGAAAAAAAGAAAAGAAAGCCTAATGCAGTATCTGTATTAGAATCCATAGGCAAAAGCACCTAGTTCTTTCCTACAGAGATGCTTTAGAGAGACCAACACATTCACAGAACAGGGAGCCAGTAGGAATTAAGGCATTCCTGGTTTGTAACCTATATTGAGTAACATGTGACATCACAACCCATTAACCTCTTCCCTTCTGAAGCAATTTTTGCTCCCAAATTTCACATTCGAGAGATATGGCAATAATGGAGAAGTAATACCGAGTAATGGTTTGGTATCAACAGGCACTGTCTAAAGGTTTCCTAGGTATCAATTCCAGAGATTTGTCTGGTAAAGTATTACACAAGTCATAAATACATCCAATGTCAAGTCATGAAAGGACAAAACCATATCACCTACTTTGGAAAATAAAAAGTGAAGAGGGGCAGAAGTGCCACCCAAATACAATTTCTTTTCTCACCAATTGTTGGTGCCTAAAGTACGAGAAAAAAAATGGATGAAGACAATAAAATTCTGTCTTGCTCCTAAGTCTTCTTTAATATATTCATGGAAAAATTAACAAGGTAAAAAGGAGTAAGGAGGCGATTTAAATTACTTATACAATATAAAGGTGTGGGGTGTAGTGTCATCTTGTGTCATTAAGGACTACTAGACTAAATGAAGATGTATGGTAAGTTTGAGCAAGTGTGGAAAAGATTTGCTTCATATAGTTTCTGAGCCCCCTTGAACACGCAAGAAAGGACTTCAAAACATGTTACGAGGAACATTTGCTAAATATTTTATATATAGTACCAAGACAGTTGAAGTACACGACTTATATTTGACCCAAAGAGGATTGTAGATATAATGAAAGCTGATAAAAATATTTACTATTCATTAACTGCATTTTAATGGTAAAACACTGATTTTTGTATGCTTGCTGTAAGAAGAGAGGACATACAACCCTCTAGTATCATGAAAACTGGAATGAATAACAATCTCAATAAAAAAAAAAATTACCCATTTCTTCTTTAATTTATAAAAAGTAACAAATGCACCTATTAATTGAGCTCGTCTTATGTTCCCCTCTAATGCTACATGAACTCCTTAAGAGAATACGTCTACAGTAACAATACTACTGTGTTTTAACATCTGACTGGCTCTCTACATTAGCCTTTGCATTTTGCCAAGCCTTGCTATGTTCCACAAGCTTAAATTCCTTAGATACATAATATATAAAGTAACTGATTAGTAAATTTACAAGAAAATTAAACCAAAATTAACATCCACTACTTTCGCAAACACTAACTATAAAATTTCAATAATCTACCTCTAAAAATAAAGGCTATACAATATGAAGAAAAAATATTTTAACTCATTTCTATATACTTGTCAGACTCTGTTTTCTATATTACAGCTCTTGTAGATCATGTCATAAGTACCTTCCCACATTAAAGATGATGGGGTATAATGTATGTAAAAGCTCCCCACAACACTTAATTCAGTGTCTCCATATCTTAAGTTTTCAAGACTGAACACCAGAAGCTTTAATGTGCTGAAGAAAAGAAGTTGGTCAGGTTATAAAAAAGTGAATCAATCACAGAACTCAAAGGAGAACTGTATATGTGGGAAGGTTGAGGCTTGCCTCAAAGAGTACACAAAAGAGGTACAAGAGTGCTTATAAAGCACTACATAACCTGAAAGAAAGTAAAAGTATGGGGTGACAATGTGAAAAATTAGGAAAATTGAAAACATTGAAAATATGAGGTGTGGCTGACATCCAAATGGTGCTGAAAAGTGTGGCAAAAGAAAAATACAATCAGTGGGGAAGGCAATCTATACCAATCACACAACAATGCTTGCATAGGTGACCAGGGCCAAGTGGCTATCCATTTTACACTAAAAGTTACTTCATCATTCACCATGATCTCAGAAATCTTATGCATTTCTTTAAATTTTAAAGAATTTTCCTTGGAATATAAAGCATGCACACCTTTCATAAATAATGGAAATAACAAAAACTCATTGAAAATTGAATACACACACTAGCACTTGTTCAATATATATTCTGCAAATATTCTTAACACTATGTTAGACTTGTTCTTCCCTAGAAACCCACAAGGACAGTCTACATTTATCTGCACTTGGACTACAGCTAACTCGTATATGGGAAAAATCTGCTACTGTGCAAAATACTGAAAATATACAACCTTCATAAACATTCTTCTCTCCATTAATATCAATATATCAAGAATCACAAACTACAATAAATTACATATATATATATATCCATTAAAAATGTAACTTCAACACCTGATTAATTCCAACAATAAATGCTATAATTGTGTACAAGGCGAAATTATGGACAGACTTTTCCCTTCCTTACTTGGGCTATTAGAAAATAATAAGTTTATTGAGTTATTTACCACTGGAGGAACTTCAAATCAGAAAAAATCAAGGGTCTTTACACAGTTTACTGTGAAACATTCATTCATGTACAAGGTTCAGATTTGATCAATAGAAAAGAGATGGAATGGACATCTTCCTTTCAGTATATGTCCATGTAACATTTACACAGCCCTGCTATCAAGATATTCAATGGATCTTGCCCTTAGCAATCTTTAAATCTGACACTAAGCCACAGAAGTGAATATAATTACTGGAATATTACTTAATCATTATACACTTCTAAATAGCATTTGTAGTTGGTCTCTACTCTGGTTAAATAACTATACTAGACACTGAGGGCAGTGTACACATTAGTTGGACAAATAACAGCCAAAAACAATGTTTTAAGTAATAGATAGAACCAGTCTTGAAGCTTGTAGACATTATCTTCCATAGTACAAATCATGTGCTGTGTATATCCTAACATGCTTGTGGGGAAAGGCCTAGCTATAACAGAATGGGGACAGGTGTTGCCTATACGCAAAACAAGGTAAATTAGAAACTTCCACTTTTGGTACAGCAGTGTGATTCCTAATAAAAAGCTTCACTGATCCCATAGTTTCCTAATTGGTAAATCTTTAAAATACCAGAATATAATGACATTGTGAAAACTTACAAAAGTTCTTAACTCACCCAATATATATATAATCAAAAAACATTCAATAAAATGTATGAGCACTGAGGAAGCTGGTTAATAGCATTGCACAAATATTCAGACAAATTAGCTACAAATTCAATCACCCCAGTGCCTACCATAAATAAAATGAAAATTATTTCAGCACTCAAATATAAGTATCCTGCTATCCACCGGCTTCCGATGATGAACTATTTGAAATATAAGAATGAGTTTTGGTATCTGCACATTAGTTACATGACCAAAGAATTTAATACTTGCCTCTGTTCTAAGAAAACAACTTCTATGTACAGAGATGGTAGTCTTCAAATTGCTATAGGACAAGAGAAGCAGCAGAGTCCTTTGTAACACCAGACTGCAATTCCCCAGTCATCACTTTATTCAACAGATCACAAAATGTTACAGGTTCATATCTTGCACACGATTTTGAGGCAAGTATGATCAAATTTGTTAACTGCCACATAACACAGATCAGAGACTGAAGAATAAAAACGATCTTCCTAGTTTACATCTATTTGCTCAGGATGTACCTTCAGAGCCATAAAAAAAGAAAAAAAGAAAAGAAAATATATAAACTTTGTCTTCTGTCAATAATATCAGTCTCCTGTCTTCCACCCTAATCACCTAGGTGATGCCCAGATTCCTGCTTCTCCTCGGCACCAGGTGGTGATCTAGACACCAGGCAATTACAACCCAGGACACCAAAACAATGCAATGCTTTAAAAATTTAACAGCCACCAGTTCTGGGTGTACCAGCAACATTCTACTGGCGTCCTAATGTCCTGGAACTGCCGTGTTTTGATGTTAGCCTGTGAAGAGATGAGAAAACTATTAGGTGGGTGCAAGAAAAACTTTCTACAAGACATGAGGGTCATTCAATAAGTAATGAGACAAATGAATACTGTATCACTGCAGAAGTAGTGATTTATTATTAATGATCACATACCTATTATTCCACAATCTCCATCTACAGCTATGCACTTGTCCCATCTTTCTATGAGTTTTCTTATTCCTGTGGTGAAAAATTCTTTCAGTTGACTTCATAACCAATTTCGGATTTCTTTCTTCACCTCTTCATTATTAGAAAAACGCTTTCCATGTAAAGCCGATTTAACCGGACCAAATAAGTGGTAGTCTGATGGTGCTCAATGTTCTGGTGCAATGTGGGTGTTGAAACTTCGACAGGTCATCTACAATGCTTGTTCGAACATTCTTGAATTATTCAACCCACTTGTAAATTTTCACTTGACTGATGCAATCGCTTCTGTATTGAAGTGACTTTTTGCGATGAATTTTGCTTGTTTTTTCCCTTCTGAATTTAAAAAACGAATAACAGAGCACTGTTCTTTCAAAGAGCAAAATCCATGCAGAGTGCTCATCGTCAACAAACAGATGAAGGTGTAGCTTATGCATGTCTAAACATGTTGTACAATGATTGCTGCACTTGCCCCTCCCCTTTGCCATCTACATCAAGAAGTCTTGTTACTTATTGAATGACTCTCAAACTTAGAGTGGGATGAAAATCTCAAAATGTAAGTGCTATCAATAATACACTTATTGCATGTAAGCATGAAAAGTGGCCTTGAAACAGTGATGATGAATAACCACTATGAGCTAATTACTTACACCTCCAGTCTACCAAGACTAAATATGAGGCGTGTGCCACATTGTATTATCTAATCCACATGACCTACCATCACCCAGTGACTAAACAATAGCTTGTAAATTTCTCCTCCAATAGCCCAACTTATGGACTGCTATAAATGTGCATAATAATGTAACTAGTTTCTGGTTTTTGTTATCCTGATGGTATATAATAAATTAGATTTTTTTTAATATATATATATATATATATATATATATATATATATATATATATATATATATATATATATATATATATATATATATATATATATATATATATATATATATATATATATATATATATATATATATATACACCTAGACCCCGACTTACGACTACGTGGACTTACGACCGTCGGGACTTACGACCGCCTCAGATATAGATAAAAAAAAAAAATTTTTTTTTTTTTAAATGACACACGCATTTTCTATACCGAAACGTTTCCAGTTAATGTAGTCTCCATGTATAATTAGAAAATTATGGGGGCCCCATGTGCATTCAGCTGACTACATTAAAGGTAAGTGCTCAGTCACACTGTCACCTGTTACTTTCACTGTCACTGTACTGTATCCATTCCTCATTATTTATTACTTGTATCTCATCATTATTCATTACTTTTACTGTACTGTGTATTTCATTGTAGATTTTTATTAAAAAAAAAAAAAAAATTTTTTTTTTTTTAATGTTACATTTTCTATACCAGAAACGTTTCCAGTTAATGTAGTCTCCATGTATAATTAGAAAATTAGGGGGCCCATGTGCATTCAGCTGACTACATTAAAGGTTAAGTGCTCAGTCACACTGTATCCATTCCTTATTATTTATTACTTTCACTGTACTGTATCCATTCCTTATTATTTATTACTTTCACTGTACTGTATCCATTCATCATTATTCATTACTTTACTGTACTGTATTTCATTGTAGATTTTTATTAAAAAAAAAAAAATTTTTTTTTTATCTATATCAGACTTACGACCATCGGACTTACGACCTGGATTTGAGTCCCTAACCCCGTCGTAAGTCGGGTTTAGTGTATATATATATATATATATATATATATATATATATATATATATATATATATATATATATATATATATATATATATATATATATATATATATATATATATATATATATACATACACACATACACACACACACAGAGTGGTCCCTCGATTAACGAACACAATTGGTTCCACAGTCGTTAGTTAACTGGATCTAATATTTCAATGGGATATTGGGTAATTGGTTCCAACTCACAGTAAACGTATACATACCGGTAATAGAATTAACAAAACATTAAATATAAACTAAATACAGTACTGTATTTAGTTAATTTTGGATGATGCTCCGGGACACCCACCACACCTGGACGACTTGCACCCTGATGTTAAGGTAGTCTACATTCCACCTAACACTACCTCTATCATCCAACCCATGGATCAAAGTGCTATTGCTGCTTTTAAAGCGTATTATTTACGTACGACCTTCGCTCAGGCTGTTGCTGCTACTGAAGGTGAGAAAATGCTCAGAGTTTTGGAAGGACTACAACATTTTGAAATGTATAAAGAACATAGCTGCAGCATGGGATGAGGTTACAGGTCAGCCCATTAGTGGAATATGGAAGAAAATCCTGAAAAGATATGTAAACAGTTTCAGAGGATTTAATGAAGATGAAGTAATTTCTGATTAATAACGAGTTAGTGGAGTAGGGTAAATAACTGGAGTTAGAAATTGATAATGAAGATGTTGAGCAGTTGGTTGAAAGTGTAGCCGAAGAGCTAAGTAACAAGGATCTTATTGAACTGGAAGCACAGAAAATTGCAGAGGAAGAAGCGAGTCAAAATGTAGAAGAACCTGCACCCACCCAAAATTTTTCAGCGAAACAAATAGCAGAGGCATTTGCTACAATTAATAAGGGGATGCAAATGTTTGACGGAATGAATCAAAATTGGACAGAATGGTCCAAGATGCACTTACTTGCTACAGGGAGATTTACAATGAAAAGAAAAAGCAAACTGTGCAGCCTAAATTGGACATATATTTTAAGAAGTCCCCCATTGCTGTCTCTTCACGCCCCACCAGTGCTGCCTCTTCACTCCCTAAGATGATCCAATACCTTCAACAAGCAAGTTTCCTTTGTATATTAACCTGTCTGAAGAAAGCAACATTGATGACCCACCCAGCCCTGTCTCCTCCTCTGCTTCATCCAGTTAATATAGTCTCCATGTATAATTAGAAAATTATAGGGGCCCCGTGTGCATTCAAGCTGACTACATTAAAAGTAAGTGCACAGTAACACTGTATCCATTCTTCATTATTGATTACTTTTACTGTACTGTATTTCATTTTAGATTTTCTATATTATTTTTTTGCATTTTTGACTTATGACCATTTTGACTTACGACCTGGATTTGGGTCCCTAACCCCGTCGTAAGTCGGGGAGCAGCTGTATATATAATTTTGATAATGGAAGGCGTTCTAAGTTGCTATTATGTTATTACACTGCTAAGTTCATATATAAAGAAAATTTGGACAGTATAGATCTTATTAATGATGTCACACAGATATATATATAAATAAAATAAAATCCCCAAAGTGACTTACCTAGAACGATATTCAACAGCACCCGCCACCTGACTGTGCCTCCACTGGGGTACTGGGATTGATCTTAACTCCTTGTGCAGTCCCAGCAGCTCCTGAGGGAGGTCCCATACGGTTCTTAATCTCTGCAGCCATGGTCATGAAAGCCTGTTCAACATTGGTTGCATTCTTGGCAGAAGTTTCGAGGAATGGGATTCCCAAAGAATCTGCATATTCCTGTAAAAAAAAAAAATAATAAATAAATTTAATATATATATATATATATATATATATATATATATATATATATATATATATATATATATATATATATATATATATATATATATATATATATATATATATATATATATATATAATGTGTGGAGGGGTCCATGTAAAAATTACTAAATAGCAATGAATATCAAAACTACAGTAAATGTCCCTTAGCATCTTATATAAAGGGAAACGTAATGATAATTTAAAAAAATATGAAATGGCAAAAGTATTAACTGAATACTGACACAAGTAGAGAGGAACTGAAGAATTTATTATATGAATGTGAAATACAGTTTCAGGATGCATGAGGTAGAGGCACATTAAAAGCAATGGAAAAAGTTACCCTTGAAAACAATATGTGAAATGAACAGAATAGAAAGAATAAGAAATACAGAACTAAAAGTCTGGAAATAAAGAGTGGTAGGTGCTTATGTGGAGTGGACATGCTTAATAGCCCGAGATGTGAAAAGTTGGTAAAAGGTGTATACTGTACAGTATAGCCCAAAGTAGGGTAATAGTAGTTCAGGGAATTCACACATTGAAAATCATTTAAGCATGAAAAGTACATAATGTGTAAGCCATAAATTGAAACAGCATTGCCAGAATTTACACTGTTATCAGTTGGATATTACATCAGCAGCAGTTTCTTTCTTGTATCCAAATGATGATGGTTGTGAAAATACACGTAAAATTTTGTTTCATTATACAGTGGAGTATGCTATAACGAATCTAATTGGTTCTAGAACCTTGTTCGTTATAGCATTCGTTCGTTATAGGATTAATCCATTCCAGGCCCCCAAATACAACCACTTAACACTGAAAAATATTATATAAAATTGTAAAAAAAGTGCATAAATATGCATCTAAACCCCTGAAATAAAGAGTATCATTCATACTTGTAATAAAAAAACAATAAATTAGTAAAAAAAAAAAAAATTTTGCTGCAGAGTTTTCAGCCATGGCAGTACTGGCCTGAGCAGGTAAACCGCTCGCTGCGAGAGCTGCCATAGTGTATCAACGGTAAAACCGCAGGTGGGCACAAACTATGGGCACAGACAAATATGTATATATATATTTTCATGTAGTTTCACAGTGAAAATGTGACATGATAGTTTTGATAAATTATCATGGAGAAATGAGCACCTAGAAAAGTCGCTAAGCCTTTTTCCTATATATATATATATATATATATATATAAGAGGTGAGATATATATATATATATATATAGGATAAACTTAATGTTCACAGTTATGTTACCTTGGCGGTCTGGTAGTCAACTACTTTCTTGTGGGTGAGATCACATTTGTTGCCCACTAAAAGTTTGTTGACATTTTCACAAGCATATCGATCTATCTCTTGAAGCCACTGCTTGACATTATTAAAGGATTCCTGTAGGAATGAAAAAATGATTGAGTAACATACACAAGTAAACCTGTAAAATGCTGCACCAATATACCTAACAAATTTTTTCTGGACCAGCGAGTGATATGCTACTCAGCAAGTCTTATCCAGAGCTGCTAGTCCAATTCGGCCTAAGAATGCAAGGCTTGGTCAACAATGCTACCAGACCACATCAACAACCTGACACAATTCGAAGAGCATAAATGCAAAAAGTCCACGTATTACCGTACATTAAAATATGGTATAAACACAATGTCAGCATCATTCCAAAAATGTATAAATTAAATTTGCTTAATTAGAAACAGCTGTACAGTACAATAAGAACCACAAGGAAATCAAGTAAGATTATCCACATATGGAAATACAGTAAGCATGCAAAATTCTGCTTATCCAAGTAATACAATACTGTACAGGTATTGTATTGTGTAACAATGACAGTGACTCGGTGAGTGAGGCAATAAAGTTAGTGTTTCTTAAAATAATTATTCACAATCTACAAATAACCTAACCTTACAGGACAGAGTATAATAAATGTTCTATTTCTGTTTCATTTCTTTTTTAGTAACTGTGCTACAAACAAGACAATATGAACATGGACAAATGACGATAGCAGTGAATTAACTAGACCCAAAGATCTGTTCCAAAACTCATTAGGGTCATCACTGTGCTTTTAAGAAAACAAAAACTTACTTGGTCAGTGGTATCATAGACAACAATGATGCCATGGGCTCCCCGATAATAAGAAGAAGTGATGGTTCGGAAACGTTCTTGTCCTGCCGTGTCCCAGATCTGAAGTTTGATTGTTTTGCCGTCTAACTCAATAGTGCGAATTTTCTGTGAAGATAGATACTCATTATAAAAGACATTTAATGAAATCACAATTATAAAAATTTCTAACAAAATGTAACCACAAAATAAAGTGCTTCAAATAAAGAATTTGAGTTCCATAATACTGATATGCACAAATTATACTTACAAAATCTACACCTATGGTACTGATGTAGGATTCTGTATAAGTGTCATCCTGAAAAGGATAAAAATACAGTGTTAATCTACAAGAATGAAACATACATCAGAATCAATAACATAATGGTAAAGTTCAGCAGTCTTCTCATAATTTTGTTTGTAAGACTATTAATGTGTCCTGAAGTGTGTGGGTTCTTCTCCAGCAGAAGGGGATAAAATGTATTGAAAGTTTAAAGAGATTAGTGACAGACACGAGCACTGTAAACTTTAGGGAGTGATAAATAATGAAACAAGGAGAATTTTGAGCCCGAGTATGATCCAGTAAAGAAAGTTCAAAGTTTACAGTTTCAGGGAACTTTCTAGCTGTTAAACCCCTCTTGTAACTCTTAAGTGCAAGCGTACAAATTCAACTCGAGAGGCATAGCAGTCTCATTAATTTGCTTTGAATCATTTAATCTAAGACCATCTTTCTGATCTCTATTTTCTTAAAGGGGGGATGGTGACATTTTTCCTTTAAAATGGTTTTCAATGGGTGGAACTGCATTGTGCTGAAACCAACATCAAAAAATAACAGCACAGTACAATAACTGCAGGAGAGAAATTCTTCAAAGCACATACATAGCTTTGCAAAGTTGCCAATGAATAATAGCCAATTTATGTGAACTGGAAACACTGGTCAGAACAATGATGTGATTGTTTAGGTACCATTATGTATTCAACCAACCTTTTTTTAAATGATAAAAAATACTGCCTGCACAGATCAACAACACTTGTAGCCACAGAAACATTCTCAGACACCCTGCTTGGCAAAGGGGTGTATCACAATGGGCAAAATTTCCGCTATTCTCGGTTCTCAGTAAAAAAAAATTACTTTTCCAATCACGCTCAATTCACATAACACTGTCGCTTGAAAAAACAAAAACAATAACATAGCTAGCAGGTCCAAAAGTGATGTCGTTTTAAGCTTTTCTTGAGATACAATGGATGCCTGAAATCCCACAACACACTACAGTACATTCACTAATTTTATCATTTAGGAAGTTTCAAAGTCCCTTGTCCAAATAATTCATGAAGCTTGAGAATCCATGCTGGCTTCTTTCAGTGGATGTAAACAAAGTCAAATGAAATGTTACCTAAAATTTTCATTTGTATATACTGTACAGGTACAGTACAGTACATAAAAATATTCTGATAATACAGTATATTTGCATTAAAATCAATTAAATTTTTTTCCAATTGTGTACTGTAATTTACCTTAATGAAACCAATGCCTTTCAAATTTATATTAAAAAAAATCAAAACTTGCCTAGGAACTCCTGCACTTCCCTAAGGAAAGTGGAAAGTTGCCCAGTGATAGCCCCTTTAGTGAATAGTAATAATCCACTTGATATAACATTTAATTTTTTGTGCAGTTTCTTTTGTTAAATATTTCGACCAATGTTTACAGCAGTTAATTTTTTTTTGGTGGTTAAAAAATGCAAACAAAAAAATACTGAACAGTTTCCTGGCAAACTTAACAGATTGGATCGTAAGTGAATTTCATGTGAAATATATTCAGCAAATTATCAATAAAAAACTAAATGTTCTACAAGTACGTACAGTATTGTAAAAGACAGACAGAGCAATCATTTCTAACAGGCCAAGGGAATACACTAATCCAGATCTCCTTAACTACTGTACTGTGAAACAGCTTTCTTTTCAATGATGTCACTGAAAATACTGTCTTTACAAATTTTTTGAGAAAACATGACAACAGACAAAGGATTTTAACAACCCTACTAAGACAACAAGTCCCAGTATTCATTCTGAAATTCATCGAACTCCCAAAGTAAATATATTTTTTGGAGTGATTGTACTGTACTTAAAATCTTAATGCCATAACCGTTTTTCAAATATCAACTTAATGTCACAAACACACACACACATATATATATATATATATATATATATATATATATATATATATATATATGACAGTAGTACTATAGAGAAAATATATTTTGCCTCTTGTACAATACTAAATTTAATATAAATTTATTATGTAACAAGACCTATGCCAGTCTATACTGTACCATAATGTAACTACCATTCTGAAAATTTTGTCAAGAACCTTTCTCTCTTTTTACTGTAAATGTATGTACACTCTAAGAGTCATACAATATACATAACAAAACAAACGAGAAATTTGAACATTGCACCGAGGAAGTTTTATTGCAAATTGAATAACACTATTTTCACCTGTAAATACTAAAAAGATGAGCAACATATATTATTACAAAATTGAGTCACTTTGCAGCCAGGCATGTCAACCATCCTGAGATTACATGAGCAATAGTGCTCATTCTGAAATTTGTCGTGCCCAGCTGTTCGAGAACATTTTGGTGGCGAGTGTACCTTAGTGCACATTTTCAAAACTTTCCAAAATAGGACTAAAAACCAGACTAGTCTCACTCAATTCAAAATATACTTACGGCAAATCTTAAGAGAAGGCAGGACTTTCCAACACCGCTGTCACCAATGAGGAGGAGTTTGAACAAGTAGTCACTGAAAGGAAAAATAAATAAAATAATCACACACTACATGTAAAAGCAAAGTTAGAGGTGATGTATAGGAACAATGAAGTAAAGAATAACAAGTGTGCCTCCAAACTCTAACATGTAAAAATCCAGACATTCCAATCTGGACTATATTAGAATAGCCCATAACAAGACTTAGACTAAGCCTTATATCTGGGATAAAACTATTTTACAAAATAGTGAGTTCCTGCACCACAAAGTAAGATTGTGGTATCAGGTGGTATTAGTTCTGCAAACCAACCTCAACATGATTAAATTAATGCAAAAACTGTTGCAATGCTATAAAAACCTACCAACCATTACACTACTTCCTAGGACTGCATGGCAACAATCAAACCCTGAAAAAGGTGACCAACTATCAGGTACTTGGCTGTAAATGAGAACAGAGTAAGCCAAGAAACATCTGTGCAGCTCACTCAAGTAACTAAATATAGAGGTGGTTGACCTGGAAATGGTGTTTTATAGTGAAGCAATGAGGGCTGTAGAGAGCACTAATACTAATGTAACAAAGAATCAATACTTTCATTCTTCCGATAACTGCACCATCAATGGGGTTTTGTCTCGATACTTAACCCCTTCACTTTGGGGATGCCAATTTTAATATTTTATTGGACCCCATACACAGATTATTTCAGATTAGATTCAGTTATGTGTGTGGGTTCTAAGAATCCCGATTTTGCAAACCACAGACTTAGTTGATTACTATAACCACGAGTAACCCAAGACAGGTAAAAGGTTAATGGAGATTAACCAAGTACAGTACCTGGATTTAAATTAAATAAAGTTGTAAAGGTACGGTATAACAGATTGAACTTAGTGATCGGAAAACACACTTGCCAGTGCTAAAATTTTTAAAGATGATCGGGGGAAATAATTGGTACTGGTAATTACAGTTTTGTCATAAAACTCTACCTAGAAATCAATGACAAAGTTGCAAATCAGATTTCATTTACTTTATCCTCTCCACCACTGATAGGCTTGTTAACCGTTTGGGTGGTCAGTTACGTCTCTGTTATACACTTTTGGCAAGTACTGGTTCCAGAATGAATTAGCACTCAGTGCCATCACAAAACACTGAGAGATCATTTCAAGAGTTCACAACTCTCATTCCAAAAAAGTTTACTATGACAGTTTTCTGAATTTGTTGCTTTTACAACCAAAAGCTGTGACCCCTAGTGGAAAGGGCATCCACCAGTTCCAGATATAACACTCGACTGAGTAATGCCCTGAGGTGTTTATAGAAATCTATTGTGGCTCTCCTTTGGATGTTTTCAATCAACTGACAGTCTCTAGCATATCTCAGAGACCAGACAGGGTGACAATACTCCAAACATACAAACAATACTTCCGTAAAAAAAATAAAAATAAAATAATAAAAATCCTGCATTTTTTAAGAATCTAATAGAGGCCATAATACTGATAAACAAAAGTGTAAAAATACTCAACCAAAGGTACATAAAAGTACTCAAGTTATGAAGCGGCACACCACACTTTTTTTTCGATTTGTGAAAAATTTCTCGGGCTTTGAACTGGAGAAAAAAAAATCATGTTGACAGTTCACAGAATGTGCCCTCCATAGTACAGTACTATGGCAGGAGAAAAAAATGAGACAGACAAAGAGGGAGGGTGGCAAGATAAAATTACCCTCACAGTATTAAACACCCAGACAATATCAATGATTTCCAATCTTCTATAGAGTGAATACATTATCAGATAGGAGGTCATGGAATGGTTTCATGATTACTGCACTATCAGGTAAAGTACAATGCCTTTGTTATTTTTAAATATTTGTACTGTACTAGTAATATGCAAATCAGCTAACAAACATTACTTCTAATTGTCCAGCCTTCTTTACTAAGCCAATTAATTTTTTCAATACACTGTAACTGCCATATCAGTTTTCTAGCAATTTGGGCAGCTAGTCTGTTCTTTGCTACTTTGTTAAAACATTCACTGCCCAGTGTTGGTACAGGAGGTAGCAAGAGTGCCCATGGAAATCTGCAATGTTTGGTAAGGTTACACTGGATAACACCATTCTCACATCTGACCCAGAACACAATGGTGAGCTGAGCCATGTGCAGTTCCACTGACCAAATCTGTACCCACAAGGTTAAAACTGCACCCATACCACAACTGCAATGCAATTTTAGAATTGAAATTACACCCACACCCAATTACATGTACAGTACGCACTGTATTATTCTATGAATCCAATCAAAGAAATGCTATCAGTTATAGATATCTGACTACCCCGTATGTTAAGAAGTTCACAAAGCAGTACACTGTACCCTCGTTAATTCGTTTCATTATAACTAAGATTTTGGCTTAATTTGTATGTTTTTTTTTTTCTTCAAAAAATGAATTAAACAATTTGATTTGGAAGGAGTCTGAAATAACTGATCGGTTCCAAAAGAAAAATTTCATAAGTTATCGAACAATGCCAAAATTCTGTAAGTACATAGTTCAATAAAGCTAACCATGTTATCCTGCCATAGCAACAAGGAACAATGTTAAAGATGAACCAACTTGTCCCATTAACACTATCACATACCCAAAAACTCTGAAAGCAAAACAAAGACTGGTACTCAAACAGTGACCGAGCGTTGACTCCTTGAGCTTCTAACATGACGGATTGCCCTAACCGATATTTCAGTACTGGACGAGTATGACCGGGCGAGCATGTTCATATCTCTGAAAGTTTGTAAGTCAAATCATTCAAATGTTCAGAAGAGGAGTGGCTGTCCTGTATTACAAAATACCCCTTTCTGTTTTTTCAACAACTGATTTGTAATTCCCAATAGTGTACATGTAATGAGAAAAAAAACTTTTACTCCACTATATAAAATTTCAAATGTAATAAGTGTCAAAGGAAAAACTACAGTATTCTTTTAATACAACAGAGCATGCAGTGAGTCACCTGTGACACTGGCAGGAAAACACATTGGTCAATAATTATTTACTGTATATTCATCTCATTGAATCACAAACAACTCCAGCAAATCAAAACAATCCAACCAAATACTAATACAGGTACTGTATCATATTTTGAAATGGAAATCTAGTACTGTACAGTAAGTAAACTCACTTGTTTTTTTCTAATGCTTAACAACTGTTTCTTTAATAAAAAGCAGTACAGTATAGTCTGCACTTACACGGATTTTGTTTACGCGTTTGGTCATTTACGTGGCTCCTTGCCAGAATGAAAATTTTGAATTACGCGGGTCATTGCATCATTTACGCGGGAAACGGCGCAGGAAGGGTGCGCATTAGGTTGCTCTTACGTTATCGCTGACGTCATATGAAGTATCGGACTGTGCTTGGGCCACGCATCCTTACCACCCAAGCATTGCCTGCGCCGCTAGCTGTGATTGATCTAATGTAACATGACGTGCCCTGCCACCAGAAGTCGCTGACCTAGCCGGGCCAGTTTCATTGTTCTCAGTCCGCGTATACAGTTCTCTCTTGTGCCCGCTATTCCCCTCACAATGGCTTCCACTGGACCCCCACCACCCAAGAAAAACTTTGAATTACCTGGACCAAGCCATGGTTATGTGAAAGAAATCATCGATTTGGGGGAGAAAATTAAGCTCGTCCTTGACAAAGACACAGTCAAGCATCGGTATGAAGTGTCTAATAACCTTTTGTCGAAAATTATGGAGCCGTATGTCCAGATCTATCACGACAACATCAATGCTAGTCGTCAACGTAGTATTACGGACTTCTTCGTCCGCAACCCACCACAGCCAGCCCAAGTCAGTGACAGTGAGGATATGGACTTTGAGTGGTTTGTCAGAGAGGCCCTGCAAGCCTCTGCGAGTAGTGAAAGTGATTCACCGGAGGGCCACTAATCTGCCCTCTGCCTCCGAACCAGCCACCATCCACGTGTGCCGACCCATCTCTTCTACTAACGTAAGTGTTAAACACCTTTAGATTTGTAGTTTTTTATTTAGATACTATGTGTGTATCAATACCATCATAAAATAATGATGTTATTTTTACTACAAGGTACGTATTGTGTCGGAAAAAGTGGAGTTTGGGAGTCGGCCCAGTCTCTATTTCAATTAATCCCATATGTTATTATTTCGTTTACGCGTTTTTCGTTTTACGCGGACCTCCACGGGTTCAATTGACTGCATAAATCCAGACTATACTGTATTTAGTAATTATTAAAAAATCTGTTGATATCAGTGGTAATATGTCTGCATCCAATATATAGTAATAACAATAATAAAAAAGTTTACTCAAACGATTATTAAATTAAATATCATACAATCGATGAAGCTTTTTATTCTTTTTAAGAGAAGTGTCAAGTTTCAGCCAAAATGGTCAAGTCTACACACACACACACACACACACTGTGGCTACTGTATAGTGATACAAATTTTATGAATTTCACAAATTAATCATTATGTAAAACAGTTTAATTAACCATATAGGTCCATAAAGCAATTTCCCCAGGCTAACTGTACGGACATAGAAGTCACTGGGGAAACGACCAAACATTGTAAAGTTATATCTTGTGATGACCGAGAATTGAATGATCCTTGAGAAACCTAAGCTCGAGCAAGACCGTGACGAGCACAATTTCTTGGCCACCGCAAAACAACGTGATGAGATTTAGTCTGACTCCAATGATTATGTCCATATGGTTAGCCTGAGAAAATTTCCATACAAATTTGAACAACTAGCCAGTGTTAAAAATACCTTAATGTAGACTCTGTTAAAGTGGCATTGGACAGTGTGATAGTGTCGGCAAAAAAGTATTTCGTAATATTGTACTGGATTGTATTTACCATTCTGCACATGGCCTAACTGATGTTTTCCCAATTTATTTTTAAAATTACTAAAAATTATGTCTTACTGCAGACAGAAGACATACATTAAAAAGATAGACTTGAGCATCCTCAGTATTGTGTTAAGTGTTGATATGGCAGGCAGCTCTCGGCTTGTTTATAGATGACTATCTGGGAGACTACATCTTTAAACCATTTGTGAACGATGACAAAAACCAGATCAACCTAGCTAAAAATAACAAGATTATTATGCCGAGATAGTTTCATTACCGTCATCTTTCATGTATCACCGAATGCCATAGTTTACGAGGCAAACACAAATGGTGATACGAACTTTGCATGGATATCTAATGATATAAATTATGTTTTATCTCAATACAGATATACCAGCTGTCTGTACAATAAGAAATTACATCTAATAATTCTGTAAAACCAAGGCCACGCAAAGGAAGGTAAATATTATTTAGTAATAAACATACCCAAACCATATTATATAGTAAATACAGTATATAGTAACAGTTCATAACATCACAATTATTCCCTGAAAGCACTGAAATTGGAAATTATTTCCATTGTTCATGAGGTACAGTGACAGGTTATATTTTAAAAAAAGTCACAGGTAATGAAGAATGGGTAAACAATCAGCAGAATATAAAAACGAGCAAAACCGGCATAGAGAATCTTTTACTTGTAACAGGTATAGAAGCCTGAAAAGCTCCATAACCCTCATTATCAACTATGAAACATGTGTAACGAGTATGACTGGCAGGTACAGCACAATATGGGGAGGAGTGTCCCCAGTGGTCACGGCTATCACTTCCCCTCCTACCATATTTTCATCCATATTGGATTTTAATATTATAATTCTGGAGTAGTTCCCGTTCTAGTACCATTAAGATAAATTCCTTTGTCATGCTACTGCGCAGCTGATCATCTCTTAGACTTCGCTCAGCTCAGCTGACTGTGACAGCAGCTTTCAAATGAATGTTAATTTGGCGTTTAGTTACACATACAGCCTAATAAATCACAGATGTTTGTTCTTGTATACATCTGCTGGCTGGCTGCTTCACATCTAGGCATATGTAATTAAAGAAAATTAAATCCCAGCTATTTTTTGTTCCCTTGTGAAACGTCAAAAGTGATCACCTGATCGAACAACTGCCACTGGAGAAAATCGACCTTGCACACCATAACAACTCATATTTCTTCACTACAACAGGAGTATACTCACTATTCAGGGTTCATCGTGGACATCTTCTAACTGTAGACCTTCCCTAGAACTAACTTTTAGGTCTCTTGGATCTGTAATAACGCAGAAACAGAAGGAATACAAGGCAGACCCTCCCCTCACTATCACAAGATGGCCGTTCCGTGGCGTTTGCACTCACCGATGACGTCATGCCACATAGACACGGTATGAAAAGCTCCTCATATCAACGTGTGTTCTCATAGAAAAATAGATTAACCTAGAACAACACTTATTAAAATATTGAAAACAAAAATATTACGTATATTCTGAACTATTCTCTATATTAGGAGAATATGATTTACCGAAAACAAAGATGAAAGTAAAAGGAAAATGGATGATTCCAGACAAGGATACAAATGGTCGGCTGACTCTTCTGATTCTCGATTGCGTAGGCTTCAGTGATTCACCCTTGAACCGTGAATCATCTGGCTCCTACAAACATGTGACATCCTCCTATGAGTAAATGTTAATAATGGTGTAACATGTGCTAAAGAATGATTAAATCTACTAACTTTTTCCTACTTCTGGGCACTAAAACTATTACGCAACAATGACGTCAGATAGACAACGGGATGCCCACTATCAGTATCAGGTGTATCCCAAAAGTTCAATAAAAACAATTGTACACAAACAAGTGATTGACCACAAGATCATCTTCAAAGTCGAGAATTGGAACATCAATAAATATAATTAATATAGAGTACAATGAAGATGTATACGTTAGGGATGGATGTTTCCCTGTAATTCTTGTATAAATTAAATTATTGTAGAAATTATACACGATAGCATCCATACAAAAATATTACACCATGGGAGTTTCGTTACGGACGCAAATACACACCCGTATAAATGCGTATACAAACACACACACATAACACAAATTCATGAAAAAAACTCGTACACATTTAACTACACACATTCACAGTAATACATACCACAGAACACGCACACACACACACACACACATGGGAGCAGGTTAATTATCTGTTCGGAGCTTACCGATGCACCCCTCTCATAGAAGGGGATGTGGCGCTAACGGGGAGTTGATGGCAAGTAAAGGGAGTAAGATAAGGACTTTTTGAGAGGGTAAACCATTAGATGTAGCGGGGGTTGTTGAGTGATGAAATGGTAACTTGTATGATCGAACACTAGAGACTGAGTTCCAAGATGTTATGAATCATAATAAAAGTTGGGAAAAGTGATTTATGGACTGCAAATGAACCAAGGAATGAGATGGGCAAGAGAGACTTTGTATAACTTTCTACTTTATCCTCTTTGCCACTTGTTTGTTTGCTAGTCAGTCGGGTGGTCGGTTAGTTCTCCATTATGCACTACTGGTAAATACTGGACAAGTTCGGATTCTTGAATGTACTGGACCTGTGACGCTGTTAGCCAAGTCTGGAATATAAGGAGCTCACACTTGGTGCTGCCACAACATTCTCTGGCAGGTTATTCAAAAAGTTCACAACTCATCCATCAAAGAAGTTAGCTCTGATAATTGTCTGTACTGATAGCTTCTTTAACTGTGACCTTTGGTGTTAGGACGCCCATCTGTTACCTTCATTTGACTAACTAACGACCTTTGAGGTGTTCATAAACTTTTAATATATCACCTCTTCTCTTCTAAAATATAAACTGAGCAATTCAAATCTTGGTAAGTGCTTGCACCAGTGTGATGGCCCCCTTTTAGGCGTTCTCAATCAGTTGGTAGTCTCTGGTGTATCCCCGAATATTTAGGAGAATTGCATCACTCCAAGCGACGGGTCATTACACTTATGAGAGGTGGACCATCTAGGTATGTGTAGGATCTTTAAATACGTCCCACTAATTTATCAAAAAGATTCACTTTATTTTAGTGTTCCGAAAACTTCAGTTCGTTGTCAACATAAACATCCAGATCTTTCTCACATATAATTTTAGTTAGGGAAATATCTTCGCATTAACACAAGTGATACGCTTCCCTACAAGATGTTCTGAGAAGTAGTGGTATAGGCAAGAACTGTAGGGGGGAATTTGGGGGGAATTGGGAGTGCCAGGAATGAATGGAAATGCAGACACTGGTGGATATGCGTGCTGAGAGAATGCTGATACAGAAAAATACATGGTTAAATAAGAAATGAATCCCAAGGTAAACATGTTCCCCAAGGCGTAGAAAGTATATGGGTCCAAATTGCATTGAATTTCCGTAATCCAAAGATACTTTCTTTGTGTGTGTGTGTGTGTGTGTGTGTTGGCCACCACTGAGGGTGGTATCCGCCTTGCCAAAATTAATTTTGAAGTTGAACACTGGTCATAACTAGCAGGTGACACTGGAGAACTAATTATGGAACAAAATCTGGATATTCAGGACCTGAAGCTACACACCAAATTACGACCCAACAGACGAACACATATGGGGATGGTGTGGCCCCCATAGTTTTCTGAGGCTTGGACATACAAACACTGACTGGATCACCCGAAGATAAGACCCCGGCTAAGTTCACCGTACGATTAACCACCTTAACTTATTTATCCTAACCTTATCCAACCTAATTTAAAAACCCTAGGTAGTGTTTGGATGTAATAAGCTGGGAGGCTAATCTTCAAGTAATCCCAATGAAATCCATCAAGAATAATTTTTTCATTGGTTTTACGTGACCAGTTAAAGTATTATGAACTATAATAACAGGGAAGCACAGGCATCGTTTGGGAATGCCGACTGTAGTGTGCTCAAGGCTACTGAACTAGAGACAACAGGAGGGACCGTTCGGAGTTTGTCTTATTCCCAGCAACATACAGTATGTTTTGCGACTTATTAAACAAACCCTCTCGTAAAAAGACAGTCAGTCAACCAGAAATTGGCGACCATTGGGCTGACTAACTCAACCCAAAAAAGCTTAATAACGAGTATTACGACGACCCGGGACGTGGTGGTAATAATGCTCCTCGTTTTCTCCACGATCTGACCTACTATTACAGTAACGGTATATTTTGCAAGACGAAAATATATTTCATCAGCGTTGTATCAGATTTATTTTCATCCGCCCTGATTTAGCGAGTCTTCTAAAACAAAAATGAAGAGAGAAAAAAAGCTAAACAAATTTGGCTTGCGAGTCATTCCACTTTTAGAAACTGTTACAGGGGAAATGTTTCATAACGTGAAACACACTCGTCCGATTTCGTGGGTTGTGGCCACACATGTGCCAATATCAATGTATATTTAGTGAAGTTTAGCAATTAAGGGAATGGTAAACATTTTCTAATAAACACGAGTATTTGACTCTATTGATTTATGTAGGCATGTAATCTGTATACACGAAGAAGTGTGTGTGTGGCCGAAGTGCCATCTTACTTCTTGGACTCTAGTATTTATCAGTCTGGAGGTAAGGCTCGCTGACCTGACCTGACCAAAATTAGCGCCAACCCATACACACTCTCACTTCCCATTTCTCTCTCACACATACTTCTCCTCTCCAACCCAACACACATATACCTCTCACCTTTCACGCACCTCTCTCCTTTCATCCGCAGCAACCTTACACACACACACACACATACTCAAAGTCAGTCGGAACAAACACACTACTCTCCCGTTATCACACTCCACCGTTAACATAAGGCTTGAAAACAACTGTCCTTTCTAAGCTTGATCCTATATTAGTTATTTATAGTTATTTAAGACAATCATCATAATAATGGAAAGTATTAATAAATGGGAACATTAATCCACATGTGAGATAAACCATAAATCCCTGCATTTGTTTATTTAATGACCATTTTTAAGAACAGACATCGGATTACCTTCAGTATAGCCCCACCCAATATTACATCACGTGGAGGTTAGGTTAAGTGGGATCAGGTTAAGTTAGAATAGGTTAGGTTACGTTACGTTAGATTAAGTTAAGTTAGGTTACGTGAGATTAGATTACGTTAGGTTAGGTGAGGTTAAAACAGGTTATGTGAGGTTAGATCAGGTTATGCGAGGTTAAAACAGGTTATGTGAGGTTAGATCAGGTTAAGTTAGCTTACGTTAGCGTTATGGTGGTTCATCTTATGGTGAAATTAGGCAGGAGGGTGAATCTCCAGGTGATCACATTCATGTATAGCGTGTTGAGAAACTGAGCACAAAGAAGAACAAAGTGACCGGAATGAATGGTTGTATTAGTAGTTAATTTCTTGAGAAACTAAATATCTATCTTGACCTGACCTGACCTAACATAACCTGACCTAACAGAATATTTTCCTTCTCTAACCTAACTTAACGTAACCAGATCTAACTTTACTAAGCATGACTTAACCTGACCTGACCTAACCTAACCAAATCTAACTTAAGAACATAAGAATGGAGGAAACTGCAGCGGGCCTATTGGCCCATACTGGGCAGTCCCATTTACACCTAACCCCTATTGCTCATATATCCAGCCAACCTATGTTTGAAGCTATCCAACGTATTCGAGTTAATGATGATATTTGGTGACTTGTTCCACTCGTCCACTACTCTATTTCCAAAGCAATGTTTACCTATTTCGCGCCTAAATCAGATTCAGATTTTTTCAGATTTGCCCCGAGGGGGCTAGTTTATTGGGCACCCCCTTACATCCTGTGCAAGGTGAAGCGCAGAAGCGTTTACAGCGCCCAACAGGGAAGTATGAAAAGTTCATACTTGCCTTTATGACTCGTACATTAAGGGCGTAAAAGCCTGAAGGGTACGCGCCTAAATCTAAATTTGTTTAATTTAAAACCATTGTTACGAGTTCGCTCCTGTTTAGCCCTGACTTCCATTTATACACCTCTATCATATCGCCCCTTACTCTACGTCTCTCGAGGGAGTGCAAATTAAGATGCTTTAACCTGCAAATTAAGATGCTTTACCTAGCCTGACCTAATTAAACCTAGCATGATCTACCTTAACCTGACCTCACCAAATTTAACCAAATGTACAACTTAACTTTGCCTAATCTAAACTAATTTAACCAAACTTGACTAAACTTAATCAAATATTGTACACTTCATCAGTCACCACTATCCTGTAGAAAAGATCTTTGAGAAAATTAATTGCTGGTAGTTATCCTAATCTTATTTATGTCAATCACCCCAATTTTCCCCCCAATTATCTCGCCCATCCGGTTGCCACACAGAATAACACAAAAGCTTAGAAAAACGCAAAG